AGAATAGACATTATCTGAGGGTCGTACGAAATCCTCAAACATCGCATTCACCTTGGCCCAATTGTGAATTTAAATTAACCAGAGTATATAAAACTTAGACATTTAATAGGCAGGATCTATCAAGCGCGCATATTTAAAAACATTACTAACTCAACTTCTTAAACTTGTGTTTGTGTACTCGTTTTGTGTGAAAAAGTCGTTTTAATTATACTTCTCAGCATGATATGCATATGATTGAAATAATTGTTCGAAAATAATAAACATTAGCTCTGCCTAGTCCGTTTTCCTATAGTCAAAGATATAAAAATAAAACGAGCATGCAAAGTACAAGTTTGCAATGAAAACTGAAATCGGTAACACGCGACCGTACCGCACTGTATTCAGTAGACCTTCAGATTTGAGACCATTGTAATAAACTGCGGTATTGAAGGTGCTACCGAATACGGTAACGTTTTATTACTGACGCCACTTAACTCTTAATTACAATTAAACGATGCTCAAGTAATGAAGTCAGCATCGAATAGTTCTTGATAAGTTATTATTTTGTTTATAAAGTGTTATATTGCATCAAAGTGACCAAGGAAGAAATTATTTAAGGAAAATTTACGGCGTGAATGTTTTTTTTCCATTTTATTATTTAATACTCATACTTATACTAATATTATTAATGTGAAAGTTTAGATGGATGGATGGATGACTGTTAGAGTTTGTTGAACGGATTTCGATGAAATTTGATACAGATGTAGAGGATAGTCTGGAAGAACACGTAGGCTACTCACTTATGTTTTTTATTACGCACGCGGACGATGTCGCGGACGGATGCTAGTTCATACTAAAAGTAAAATAATGGAAGAATGAAAAAAAACTAAAAACCAGTTATTGGAATCCAATAAAAAGACAGTAAGAAAGATCAAGAAAAGCAACAATAATCATCACAACTTATATAACTTCGTTTCGCAATCGAGAGAATATTTTAAATGTTCTTTTTTTATTCTCTCTCGTTTAATTATCCGCTTCCTAAAATCATTCGAAGCAGGAGCCATCTTTCAAGCACTAATAACTACAGACCGGGGCGATCGAGCGGACAAAGGCCATTGTTACGCCGCCTGACCGTAACGTAAAAAAAAGCAAAACCTTTCCCAATAATTTTCTCACCATTGAACTATGTTTAGGGGTGATTTAAGACTATTTTAAATACTAACTTGTTTAGAGCATTACATATACAAAACTTGAATTCGAAATAACATACATCTTACTAGTATAATTGCTTATGTTTGAATGAATATAAGAATGTTTGTTAACAAGTCATTCCATAACAGCTTTTGGATTAAACTATTTTGGTATATTAAAGCGTAATCTCAAATTCTGTATTTCCATTTTTTGTAACATATCCAACTTAAACTTTTATCATAACATAATTGTAGTTCACTGTCCCAAGCTGCGTTACTTATACCTACTCTTTCAGACTTTATTACGACAATAAAATGCGTAAATTTTTATAAATATTCATACGGTATATATGTTTTACGTCATCGTAAAATTACTAGAGATAGCATTTTTTCTGCTGGTATGTTTACAAATACGAACGATCTGTGTTAATGAGATGGTAATTAATTCCATTTGGAAATGAGCATACATAAAGTTGTACTAAATGTAATCTATATCTACACTATTATAATAAAGCGTAAACACACACTTCTTTGCCTAAGATGTCAGTAATTACAGATTTTTTTGAATAACTTTTTTTTAATAAAAAGCCCTACACTTACGTCACGCTTTAGGCTATATATTATAACGCCATTAAACTAAGGAGGTAAATATTTTGGATAAAAACCCTTATGTCGGAAAGAGACCATAACTTGTTGCAAAAATCAAGGAAGCAAGGGTACCATGCTTTTGTCATCATGTCATGTCATTTTGACATTTGCAATTGATAATTTGACACATGTAAACAATAAAATAAAAAAAAAATTTCATAATTTTATGCAGATAAAGTCGCACGGGAACAGCTCATTGGGTTTTGACACTAAATTCAAAAATGACTGCAATACCTATATAGTTAGTCGTATACGTAGTGTTAGATATTTCCACAAATTACTTCCTTTAAAATCTAGACGGACGGCCATATTAACAATACTTGTAAATTATTTTAAAACACAGAAACTAAACTCCAATGCGACAACGCAAATATATCGAAAGTTCCGTTGTGACGACTAGTAAAACACTGAGCTTGTTGGAGACTGAGCGCCGAGACTGCAACTAAGCACCCGATCCACTCCATGCCTCTAACAATGTTGTTGTTTTAAATAAAGATAAATGCATTGATAAATAGCACTGATTAACAAATAACTTTTAAGAATACAGAACACATCAAAAATAGTTAAAAAGCTAACATAGTAGCGTAGGAATTTTCGGGACAGAAAAAATAATTTTTGTTTGCGAGACATATAGCAATATTTGTCTTACGCAAAATAGATCCAGATCTGAATATTCGCTGTAAAATCTTCTAGTATAGGTGTCATTGCAGAAGATTCTAAAGTTTTTTCGGTTCTA